CAGGATCAGGAGGAGGTACCCTCAGAAAGAACTTGGACCTCACCATGAACTTGATATAGATTTCCCCAAGATTTGAATCTTTGAAAAGTTTGTAATTGAAATTGCTTGAAAGGAAACTTGGATTCTACATGCAGTAGGATGAAGTTGATATGCACTGCCCCAACATTCGATTCTCGAAGGTTTCCCTCTATTATTAGGCCTTGAGAAGTTGTCGAAAGAGGAAATTGAGTCCTACCATGTTGTGATATGAACTTGATTAAGGAATTCCCCTTCAAAAGGTATGCCCCTGATTAACGGGTGCTTTGAAATTTGACCCAAGTTGATTGAATATTGGAATGATCACCCCTTGTTAATAGGATGCCCCTACATTCACTAGTCTTGCCTCTAATGATAGGGCTCCTCTTAGATGTTTTTCCCCTAGTCAAATAGGATCTTCATGTGATATACCTCTATGATCATTATTCTTGCCTATGATCATAGGGCTCCTCTTAGATGATTTTTCCCCTAGTTAGGAGCTTCCTGGAAAGGATCGCTTTTGATTAAACCAATTTTTGAGATCTCCTTGATGCTAAGTATGATTCGTATATACAAGTGTACATTTTGAAAAGTATTTCTTAGTGGTGCACATGCAAGTTTTGAAATCGAAGTTTTCACGGAGAAGAAATGGATGATTTAGAGATGAAGATTCGGAGAAGCGAAGTGGTTAGCAATAACTAACAAACATAGGAGTCAGTTTAACACAAATTTTGTCGAGTATGCTTTCATAGTTGACCTTACTTCAATTAGGACTTTTGGGGGTTGTAACGTGGCCTTGGTTCAAGCCTTAAGAAACAAAGGATATAAGGCTCAATATTTATTTTAACCCACCCCATTCTCCTTGATGTTTTCCAATCCTATTTTCAATTAATCCAATTGATGTATTCAATCTGCAAGAGAATTTTCATAGTCGCGATGATGAGCAGAAGCATTAGTAAAGATCCAAGCACCGATGAAAAGCATTGATAAGATCCAAGCATTTATGAGAAAACTTGATGATTCTTGAGGTGGTTGTCACAAGCTTTTTCTCCAATTTATTTGTTTTCAATCTCATATTTTTGCATGGACCAATTCTTTTGAACTTTGGTCCATCGGGATACTCTAACTTTTGCCTAAGTCAATTTTTTTTTATTTTCTTTAAATTAGCGGGCTTTCTCCTTTTGAAATTCTTTTTTTTTTTTTTTGAACATTTATGACTTCCATGTTAACTTTGTAAGCTTATCTTCATTGTTTCCTTGATCTTGAATGATGTACTAAGGAGGAAGACGTCGTGGGTTTTATCTTCATTAACTCCTTAACCTTGGATGATGGATGCAAGGAACAGGATGTGCTTGAACCTTTTCTTAGATTGACTTGATTCTCCTAAGATTAGGATGCTCCATTGAATTAATTTAAATCTACCTTTCCCTTGGTTGAAATTAAGGTTTTTTAGAAAATAGAACAAAACTCTAACTCCTTGCTCGGGGGGTTAACTACGAATTAACTCCTTATTTCTCTACTATTTTGGAATTGAAACAATATCGTACATCATTAGCTCGGTCTTACCATTGAAAGCATACATTTAGAAAAATTTAGTTATTTAGTTTACATCATTCTCCCTCAAAGTTTGTTAAAGGTGAAAGATGGAAAAGTGAAAAGAAAAACGGAAAAGTCGTTGATTATATATGGAAAGTGATGAAAGAGTGAAACGAATGAATTGACTTCGGAAACATGCATGGTCATTTTATTCGAATTACTAGTCAAAAGATACAAAGTTACAATAAATGAAACTTAGAAACTAGGAAATTACAATTTGTAATTGATAAATTCTAATGATCCTATGGAAGAGCTTCTTTGTTGATCCACTTGAATTTAAGAGAGCTTCTGGATGCTCTTGGATTTGTCAAAGTATGGGAGTAACCCTTGACTTTTCTTGGGCATACCTATTGTGTGAGGGCATTCGCTCTTGTCAATACTGTAGCCTCTGATATGGAGTAATCACCAGTGATAGTTGCATTTGAGGCGTTGTAAGACTTTGGCTTGTATGAAGAAGGGTTGCCTTCTCTCCTTTGTAGGACTTGTAGGATCAAGCTCAATGGTTGACTTTCTCCTTCAACAATTTAGGATTTTCTTGAATTCCTTCACAGCTTTCTTGAAGCATGCTTGGAATTTGTTCTTGAGCATCGGGAAATCTACTAGCTGGATTGCAATTGGATAAGGGAGAAACTAGAAATGCGTTTGCAGGGGTATGTAAAAATATATTTGGTTTTTAAGGGTATGCTAAAAGTTTCATGGGTATACAATGTGACACGGGCGTATGATCGAGGTAAACATGAGGATACCCTATACAGGTTGAAGGATGAACCTTAGTTTCAGGGATTATGACAGACATAAGGAATCCTAAACGGGTTTAGCAACGACGTTGGACTTAATGAAATCCTTACAGGCTAAAGATTTAGACAGACGGACGAAAATTCCTACAGGCTAGGAATTAGGACTAAGAGTCGAAGATGTACAAAGGAATACCCCTATAGCCTAGGGGTTACAATAGACAGACGGAAATTCCTACATGCTAGGAATTATGATAGCCAATAAGAAATCCTACAGGCTATGGAAGCCCTTATAGCCTAAAGATTTGACAAACCTAAGGAAACCTAAATGGAAAGGAGGATACCTTATACTGACTTAGGGATTGTGACGAGCACAAGGAGACTCCTCAAAGGTTATGGATAATGAAAGACAAAAGGAATCCCTACATGCTAGGGATTGTAATAGACAAATGAAATTCTCTACGGGCTAGGGATTATAACATATTTAATGGAATGCCTATGGATCTAATGATTGTAATTGACAAACTAAAACCCTTGTGGGTTTAGGGAATAAAACCTAAACAGGTTCGAAGATACCAACATGTGAAAGGAAAAACCTTGCGGGGGTAGGGATTGATATGGACAAAAGGAAACCCTTATGGGTTTAGGGATAATGAAAAGATGTCCTTCATGGGAAGGTTCCTTATGAAGGAAATTTTTTTTATTAGAACAACCTACAGGAGGGATCCTACAGGAGGGATCCTACAGAAGGTTCTAAATTTATTTTATCCAACCCAAATGTGGTTTTCTTAAGGGTGTCATGGATAACACTATAGGAAAAAGGCACAATGGCCTCCCTTAAGTGGAGCCTCTTTGTAGACCGAGATTTTTGTCACTTAGGTCATTCAAGGTCTCACCATGATATTTTGTTTTAGGGTTATACAAAGAGTCATTGATCAAATCCAAAGTCCTATCTCCAAGAGAGGCTAGCCCTCCAAAGATATTTCTCGGAATTCGACCAACTATAGGAGAAGTTGCCGCAAAAACTCATAGGGATGTTAAACCCCATTGGCCAATTGACAATCTTTCTTCTAAGATTTAATATTTTTTGAAACTAAATCCCACCTATAATATAAATAACATGATAATAATAATGATGAAAAATAAAATAAAATAAATCAATAAACAAATAAATATAAGAACATGCTATAAATAGAAACAACCCCAAAAATCTAGACCTACAAGGAGGGAAAACTCTAACCATAGGGTTGTGTCCCCAGCAGAGTTTCCAACTGTCATAACCGGCAAAAAATAAAGAGTCGCCACCTTTAATTTTAGTCCAAAGAACGGAGAAATAACGGGTAACCCTAATTCTTACAAAGATTCTAAATTCGTGAGTCGGTTAGACGAAGAGAAGGTGTTAGGCACCCTTCATCTCCCTTTTTCTCAAGGGTCTCCACTTTTAGATTTAGGGATAAATCGTGGATTTCTACTTAAGTTATTATTTCCATGTAAATAAGAAAAGGTTTAATTTTTTAATAACCGAACTCGCCTTAGTTTTAACCGAGTGCCTACGTATCTCCTTGCGAAGAATCAGAGTCCAATTTTGTAGTTCGTAGTGTTTGGTTTGTGTCTTTTATAGGATTGTGTAGAATTGCTTTCAAATTATCCTTGAACCTTCTCTGGGTTGAAAAAATGAGTGATCGTAGACGCAATTTGAAGTTTGATTTGAAGGCAATGCTATTTAATCCTTTTTCAAAAATGTTCTTGAGGTTTTCATTATGTTAGTGGAAAAAATGATTTAAGATTGGTTAGATGTTTTAGATTAAAGTTTGAGTTTTGAGGAAGAGTTGATCTTCTTTTGAATTAAGTCGCACTAGGCGAAGAATAGATTTTTATAAGGAGTTGATCCTTATTAGAATTAGATCGTGTAGGGCGAAAAAATTCATTTAATTTGTTGATGATTTTTAAATGTTTTGATTTGAATAATTAATTGATAAGGCGTTGGGCCGACCTATTAATTACTCTAGGATGTATATCCCGTCATTTGTATTTTTGTTAATTAAAAAAAAAAACTAAATTAATTAATAAAAATTGAAATGAAAAATCAAAAGGAGGTGAGAAATGAGATATAAGTATGATATACTAGAAATTTGTAAACTAAATAGCCCAGAGGCCTAATTAATATTAAACCTTAATTCCTAAACAATAATTAAATAAATAAATTAAAAAAACAAGAGAAGCATATATTTGGGGAGATGGGGCGCTACTGATGCATCCATTAGTAGGCATCTATTCATTTTTTTTTCAATTCAAAATCCTAGCCTCTTAGGTTGCAACACGTGGCATATTAATAAAATATAAAAAATGAAAATGAAAAATGGAACCTGTGGGATACAAAAGCAGATCGTGGCCCTTTTCTCTCTCTCCATTGTTTTTTGTGCTCACGATCTTCTACCTCTCTGCCATCCTCTTTCTTTCTCAGAGAAAAAAACAATTATCAAAAACCGAAGGGATTCAACATAACTTTTGTTTTGATTCCTGATTCTAGATCCTTGCTTTGATTCCTGAAAAACCAATTATAGTAAACACCAACAAACAATTATGGTGGGGTCTGTCCGGCGGGAGGGCTTCGTCGGCTTTTCCGAATCTGTTGTTTCAACCGCCATGTTATTGTCATCTCGGATTCCTCTTCTTCTTTCCTACAATGAAGGTTAAAGAAAAAAACAACAACACCAATAATTTAATATTCCTATGATATGTTCTATTAAATTTGATTGTGATTGATTTCATCGATGCCGCGTGGTGGTTGTGTTTGTGTAACGTGGTGCTGGACTGAATTTTACAGGTCTTTGGTTTGAAATTTTGATGATGAGAGTTGAGTTTGTGAAAATGGAATTTAGTGATAATGAGCATGGTTACGGTTTATGAGTGTGAATTTGAAACGGTAGCGTAAATTTGTGAAGGAGGGTTATGTTCATGAAAAAAACTTGAATTTTTGTCAGTAATCTCTACATGGTTTGAAAAATTACTAATGTACGAAACAAAGTGTATTATGATAAAGTTGTTATTACAAAATATAATTTGAAAACTTATACCACTAAATGTTCATTATATGGTTCAAAATAATTTGACAAAAACCCTAGAATAAAATGAGACCTCATATTAAATCATGGGTCAAAAATTAAAAAATAATACCAAAAGAAAGTGTCAGTGAGTGAGATTGTGGACTTACAAAATTGTGGATAATTGTTGATAAAAGTGTGAAATTGTGTATGCGTAAAATTGTAGGATTCGTGGGTGAATTATTATGAAGGAAAAGAGATTTATTTATAATCTGAGAAATTATGTCAAATTGTCAAATAAAGAAATTACCCAAACAGTAAAAATCCCAAAGATTCTATCTTGGTCAGCAAAATTAAGAATCTGGACCTATTTGTGTCCATGTGCAAGATATGGTTTGGAAAAAGATTTAGATTTTATTTATTTTTAAGATTTTTGACTATTTTTTAAATAAAACAATAATTTTAATAAAAAATAATATTTTTAAAATATAATAAATAAATAAAACTAAAATAATAATTAAATAATAAAAAATGTGATTTTTGTGATTTTAAGAATAATTAAAAATGGAAATAAAGTTAGTAACAAATAAACAGAAAAAATATCCAAAGTGTACCAAGTGAGATTCGAACCCATGACCTTATGTTTGTAAGCTTGCTCCCTCACTAATTATGATATGTTACTTATTTGAAATAAAAAGCCAATTGAAAGTATATGAAGCGTAAGCAAGTTTTTGTTATTTAAGAAATATAAATAATAAACTATTATATATTTTTAAATGGACAAAATGAATTGAAAATGAATATTTATAAAACTCAAAATGCTAGTGTAAATAAACCAAAATAATTTTATAAAACCCAAGTTTTAAAATAATTTTAACTGTTTGAAATGGGGCGGTCAAATATGGGGCATGACAGCTCTTGTCGTCAATCAACTGTTGGACCTTGGCTTTGTAGGGATTGCAGTCCTCTATTGAGTGTCCTCCTGTTCCAGCTTAATATCTACATTTTACATTAGGTTCATACCTAGAAGGGAACATCTTCGGTGGATTAAGAAATTTGGGAACCACCAATGAGCTTTGAACCAAGTATTGCAGAAACTAATTGTAGGTCATAGGAATTCGATCCAGAGGAGCATTCCTTCTTTCCAAGTTAATGCAAGGTCGAGCTTGACTCTGGAAATTTTGATTCAAACCTTGAAGAGAAACAAACAGCAGCTGCTGGAGAGGAGTCCTGACAGGTAGTGGTTGAGGGTAGTGCGCTGGTGCTGCGATAGACTCCCCTTTTCTAGAATTAGTTATATCTTTGCTGAAGAATACCTCATTTCCTGCAATTAACACCTGGACTCCATCATTGTCAACACAATTCTTTAGAGTCTAAAAACTTTCTTGGAAAGTAAAGGTTCCAATTATCCTTAGGGATTCTGTAGTGTCACTATCATCTAATCCTGTAACCAAGATGTCTATGTTTGAATCGTTCTGCCTGAAAGTCATAATCTTGTCATCAATCAGCTCTTGAACTCAACATTTGAAAGAAAAACAAATCTCACTTGTGTGTCCTACAGAGTTTCATGGAAAACACATCTTGCATTGTCATCAAACCAAACCTTAGGAGTCCCTGGAACTGATTTTATCTCCCTTGGTACTACAACATGACTTTGATTCAAGTATGGAAACAATTTAGTATACATCATTGGGATAGATTGAATATCTTGCAGGTTATACTTTCGGTAATGAGGATTCCTCTGTTGATTAAGACCCATCTGCTTTAGTTGCGGAGTAAGTAGTGGATGTTGTCGAGGAATCTTTGGAGGTAAAGGCCGAGTATAACATCTAGGAGGAGGACCTCAAACTGGGAAGCTTTCCCCATGTGGATGTATTTTCCCCATGGTGACTCCAGACGACTGGAGAGATGTAACCAATTTTTTTGTAGCAAATGGTGTGGTGTTGCTCTTCTTCTTCAACAAGGCTTACAAGATGTCTAGGACCAAGCCCATCTAACTTTTCAGGTGGTTGACCTCTACTTTCAACTGATCCTGACCTAGCTGAAGATCTTTTATAGCTCTTTGATACATCCTTCAAATTATGAGCAAGTGTTGGGTAATTAGTTTGATCTTTCTGGACAGGAGAGATGAAATGAGTTTTTCTGATGAAGATGAAATACATGGTAATGCATGTAAGAATTCAATGTGATGCAGTACAATGTCATGTTGTTGCTATACACAGTTCACATGTAAAGTCCACACATGTAGGAGTTTAAAGGACGGTCGGGCATAGTTTTGACGTCTATCCAACAATTCCCCTCGCAAGGTGGTTCTAATGGTTTTCGGATAAACAAATTACTGGGATCAATGCTCCATTTTGACGATAATATCGATGTATCACAGGCAGTGCCAAGCCAATATTATATCCAAAAGAAACTACTCCAAGGGAGGTATTTGGGCCACTTTCCAACACAGGTGCTTGGTAAGTTAAGCACTACACAACCCTTGGTTTATAGGAGTCCAAACAACGGGTAAGGGTTCTTAAAGGTTCCTAGACTCATCGGTACACATTAGAAAATACTACAATCCATACATAGGGATGTACACCAATAACACCTCCACATGACCTACTCTAGGAGGGGTCTTTGCGTAGACTAACAAGATAAGGAGTCTTGAAAGTCTGTTCGCTACACAACACCTTCTAATCCAAATAGTTTCTCATACATGTGTAATGAGTCTCACTTCTAGTAATATATCACCCTTAAATTCCAACATCACAACTTTGGAATATAACAAGATATATAACCATAAAATTAGAGAAAACAAGAAAAAAAAACAAAACAATAAAGCACACAAATACACAAAGAACTAAACTAGGCGTCATACCCCAAATTTGCCTTACCCTTATATTATGTTTAGGGTTCTATTTAAAAAAAATCATATTATATAATTTTTATTTATATGGGTTTAAAGTTTATAAAGAGTGATCTTTGTCTTATAAAGAAATTAACGGGCCTTTCTATATGAGAAAGGGTCCACATAGAATTTTTAGTCCACCTAGAATATAGAAGAGGGGTGCGCGCTATTGAAGTAATATTAGGACATTTCTAAATCATAATGGCCCATCTAGGCAGAGTGGTGTATAAAAAAATGCATTTTTGTTTAACGCCCAATATTTGAAAACAATATGGCCCAATTCATTTTTTGGTTTTGTTTTGAGAAAAATGTTTTTCCTTAGTTATAACATTTTTTTTATTATTATTAAACATTTATTTTTATTATAATTATGTTATAAAGTTAAACTTTGTTTTGTTTTCTGATTGAGAAAATAACATTTTTGTAAAAGAGAGTATGCAGGTCCATTTCGTTTAAGTTGATGTTGTTACAAATAACAAAATGTTAGGCCCAATACATATACAACCCAGTCAAAAATGTGTGTCCCCAAAACTAGAAAACACTCACTACACGGATTAAAGAGGAATGATGCTTGTTTTACAACGAAATCAAATTGATATCACATTCAAAGTTTTCCAGAAACATGATCAAGTTAAACACAAACACAATCAATATTAACTTGCACGAACAAAAGCAGAAACAAATCATTAAAGCAATTACAACAAAGATCAATTACAATCAAAACATTTCCTAAATTCTAAAAATGAACGATAACATAACTTGTTTCCTAAAATACCTAATTCAAAATTTCTATAAAAACCTAGATATTTCTAACAATAAAAGGACATAAAGATTATAGGAAAAAAATTATTAAACAAAAAGGGAGGAGAGATTGACAGAAATATAAAATTAACAGAGACGGAGGCCCCAGAGAGTTCCCATCTCCGCCTAGGGTTCAAACATATGGAACCCTAAATCTAATCACCACACCGCCGCTACCTTCACCCTCGCACCATCGTTGCTATCCATTTCATCGTTGTAACCTGCCAAACAGAAATGAGGGATTAGACAAAAGAACTCGGATCAAAAGCAAACAAGAAGAAATACGGCTGAGGTGAACCCTTAGCTTTTAGGGTATATTATGGTTGCATTTTTTCTTGCAGATTTGGGGTTTGGGATTATTGGGTTATAGGTTGTCGTTGTTGTACTGGGGAAGAGAAGGAGAAGTAGCGCCACCACCATTGGAGGTTGAGTTTGGGTTTGTGGTGTGTGGAGAGAGATGAGAGTATAGAGACGCGGAGAGAGAGAGAGAGAGAAGATGGTAAAACAGAAAATGAAATATGTAATTTGTAAAATGAAAATATAGTGTGTCTAATAATCCCTTATGTGCGTGCTCGCAAGTGTGATCATACTCCCTCGTTCATACCCACATGATTACTATCCTACGTTCCAAAACACACTCCTACGATAACCATCGTGTGACCACACACACGGAGCCTACGCGGACTCTCCCAAACCTCACTGGGACGAGCCCATTAGCATTCACACCTTCTCTTTTTTTATTTTGCTAGCGCCTGCAATTTCATACCCCCCAGGCCAAACGAGCCAAGTCTAAAATCTGGACTTAGGCCCTAGCTCCTTGCACCCCCCCAATTTGTTGTGTAACTCAAACCTATACCCCCTGTCCTTTTGGGCATGAATTCAGTATCTGACTTCAGACCCAAGCTATTAACACCCCCGTATTTTACTACCTCTAATATAATTTACACCCCCCACGTTTTATCTATTTTTCTTTATTATTTTATTTTATAATTTTTTTATATTATATATTTCCTATTTTATAATTATTTTATTATGTTAATTATTTCATAAATCAAATACATTATTTTTCAAACTCATAAAAAATATTTACTATTTAATTGCATTAAAATTGTTTTTTTAGCATGCATTAATAAAAACTCTTTTTTATAATTAAT